CCAAGAGAAGATATATAAATATGAACGATTTGATTATTACCTCACTGGTTAACTGTCCAAATATAGACTGACGGTATGATGTATTAGCTATTGGTACACTTGAAATATGCATGCTCCTGATATATTTCAATGCTTTGTTTAGCGAAAAAAGCTCAAATATTGCTAAACTATATTTTGGTTTTTTTTTTTTTTGTCTATTTGAGAAAGAACACTGTGACATTTTCTCAGCATTTTTATTTTTTATGTCCTTTCTGTTTAAGATTCCTTTTCTCCATGATTTAATTTTATTTTCGTTATTCACGTCCCTTTTTTACCAACCCAAGCACAGCACTGTCTTACACTTTTCATCTACTTATACTGCGTTTTGTTTGATTCAAACACCTTTCATTTGGACCAATTGTTTCCGATCTCAGGTGACCCACGGCGCTGTCTTGATGAAATCACCGCATCTGTGCCGTTTCCTCCATAGTTTGTTTCGCTCTGTAAGAAACGATGCTGCGAGGCAGCGCTCGGCGGGCAGCGTGGGACGGGAACACGCGGCGCAACCGGCGTGTAGGCACGCGGGGTGGCCAGGCAGTTTATGCGCGTGGGTGGAGAGCGCATGTGGAGAGCGCTTGGCGGGGAAAGATGCGGCGGGGAGGCGAGAGGGACACGAGGCGCATGGCGTGTAGTGCACGGCGGGCTGCGCCCAGATTCTGTGCGCGTGGTGCGGCGAGCGCACAACCAGGCGTAGAGCGCATGGTGGAGAGGCTTGGCGGGGAAAGCCGGCGAGGGGAGGGCGGAGAGGGAAATCACAGGCTCACGGGTGTAGCGCACCGGCGGGGTGCGCCCAGAGTTTATTGTCTCGTGGGTGGAGAGCGCGTGGCGGAGAGCGCTTTGGCGGGGAAAGCGATGGTCGGGGATGCGGAGATCGGGAACACACAGGCGACAGGCGTGTAGCGAGGCGGGGTGCGCCAGCAGTTCTATGGCGTGGGTGGAGAGATCGCGGATGGCGGAGAGCGTGGCGGGGAAAGAGTGCGGGGACGGAGAGGGAATACGCAGGCTTACGGCATGTGCGCACGGAGGTTGTGCGCCAGCAGTTCTATGCATGCGTGGGTGGTAGAGCGGCGTGCGTAGAGCGCTTGGCGGGCGATAAGCGCGGCGGGGAAGCGCGAGAGGGACACGCAGGCGCATGGCGTTGTAGTGCACCGGGGCTTGCGCCCAGCATTCTATGCGCGTGGGGGCGAGCGCACGAAACCCCGAGCGTAGAGCATGGTGAGAGTGCTTGACGGGGAAAGCCCTGGCGGGGAAGGCGAGATACGGGAACACACCAAGGCTCACGGCGTGGTAGCGCACGGCGGGTGCGACCCAGCAGTTCTATGCTCGTTGGGTGGAGAGGCTGTGGGCGGAGAGCGCTTGGCGGGGAAGCGAGGCGGGGAGCGCGAGACGGGACCTTACGAAGGCGCACGGCGTGTAGCTCATCGGCGGGGTGGCCAGTCAGTTCTATGCGGTGGGTGGAGAGTGCGTTGCGGAGCGTCGCTTGGGGGGAGGCGCGGCGGGGAGCGCGAGACCGGGAACACGCAGGCGCACGTCGTGTAGCGCACGACGGGATGCGCCGAGCTGGTCTACGTGCGTGAGCGTAGAGCGAACTACTTCGAGGCACACAGCGCTTGGCAGAGAACAAATGGCGAGAAGTGTGTGACGGGGGTGGCATAGCGGGGTTTAGCAAAACGGTGATCGCATGGCGGGGATGGCGTAGCGGAGAGCGCGTAGAAGGGAACGCTTGTCGGAGAGCGCTTAGTGAGGATAGCATATCGGGAATGGCATGGTGCAGAATACGTGGTGGGTTGCGCATATCGGGGATGGTATACCAGGATTGGCGGGAGCGGGATTGGCGTATGGGAAGTGTGCGCGTCACTGGGATGGCATAGCAGGGATAGGGAGCGGAATTGGCCTACCGGAGAGCGGTTGGTGGGGATGACGTAATAGAGATGGCATAGCGGAGAGCGCGTGGCGGAGATGGCATACCGGATCACGGAAACGGTGTAGCGGACAGTGCAGGACGGGGAGATGGAGGGGTTGACATAGTGGGATTGGCGTACCGGAGAGCGCATGGAGGGGATGGTATAACAGGGAGCTCGTAGAGGAGACGGTATAGCGCCGAGCATATGGCGAGGACGTGGACGGGGAGCGCGTAGCCGCGATGCACGTGACGGGGAGCGCTTGTTTAATGGGGCGGGCTGCGAACACGCATGGCGCGGAGTGGCCGTTGGTGCGTGGCCAGCAACTGCAATGGGTACGTGTCGCGGATGACGCGGCGGGGAACGCGTGGCGTGGAGCTCGTGACGGGGCGTGTCTGTCGGAGTGCTGAAGTAGTCGCGATAGTAGAGCATTGGGTGGGGAAGGCAAGATCGTGTGGAGCGAACATCTCCTGCAAGTCCGTGGGCGTAGAGGGCGAACGCGTGTGGGCGCGTTTGCGCTGCGAATGCCAGCAGCAGCCCGTCAACGTTGGTGGCTGCTGGCGGCGTCACGTCGCGTCACGTCATGTCACGCCGAGCGGTGGGCGTTGGAAGCCCCATGGGGTTGCACCCCGCGTGGATAAGAGGAGCTCGCAGAGTTGACGTCAGCGGCTGCGATCTCGGGTTCTGCGATTCGAATTTCTGTTAAATCGCGTGGAATTGGCGGTTGATAAAACGAGATCGTTGCAGGTGTCCGCGGGGTTCTCTCGTTTCTTCTGACTCTCATTTCACAAATGTTACTTTGACATGCATCCCATCATCAGCGTCATTATCTGTTCGTCACGTCACGCACTAGCCCTGACGAGGGTAAGGGAATTTTCAGAAATTACTGTGGTATTGGAAACCTGTGACCAGCTGTTCGCAGAAATTGCGCTGGGTTAGAATATTTGAAATAAATATAGATGTATCGAACGGTTCGGGAATATGTGAAGCAGGAAGATAATAAAATGTCAGTGAGAATGCCGTATACGAATAAATGGATCTACAATACCGTTACTGATGTAGGAAAATGTACACCATAGGTTCGTTAACTATACGAGTATTGGTGTTATGTGTGGATGGTAGAAATAGAACATACCTCGAAACGTTTCTGAGGGATGACAAAACTGTATAACAGTGGAGATAATATAACAAGTTTCAAAAAATATTGACATTACTTTTGTCAAAAATGCAGACAGTTCCTTGATATATTAAGCGAACGGGATAATATACTGAGAACATTTGATTTGAGTTCCTGTTGACATACTTTTAGATATATTTAATAAAAATAATTCCTGGATCTTTGCACAAAAGTTTTATCCTACACTCCAGTTGGAATTTTTGTGAAAACATTTGCTAATATGTTTTGATCACGGGGCAGTGATATGTTTTGTTAACCGAATTTAGAAATATACAATTAAGGTGATTGTTGTATAAATTGCGTATAATTTTATTTATTTCTCATTACACATTTATTATTACATTAATTATTATTGTAATCATCATGCAAGACATTTGAAGTAACTGTCAAAGTGTGTTATCTTAAATGCTTATCACAGAGTCCGTAACAGTCTTCAAACATAATTAATCTGTATAGCCAATAACACCCTTCGTGAAAAACCAATTATACTAGCATTAAGGCGTCCTAAGAACTAGAAATTATAAATAATAATAAATAACTGTATCTGGCAAGAGAAACAGTGGAAAATAGCATTTGATAGTAGATTAATATCAAAAATATTTTAAAATAATAAATTAAAATTATATATTTATTTTATTATTGTATTTACTATATTGTGGAAATAGCATACTGATAAGGGTTATCAATGTATAACTAGGTTATCAGCTTGTATTATGCCTGGAATATCCTTTTCGGCACATATTTATCTTAATCAAAGCATCTTTAATCATTTGAAAGTGTTCAAAAAGGTAGAGTGAAACATGAACGTTCTGAATTGCCACCGCGATCTCCTCATGATGTTGCGAAGACTTTGGTTCACTATCTCACCACCTTACAAGCATTCTGTGTTTCAACCACCAAGAGAACCGATCTGGTCATTATTCTCTTGTGCAAATAACTTATTTTCAGATTGATCTACTATTACCTGATAGTAACACTGCACTTCGCGTCCAGTAAAGTAACTAAAGCACTAAAAATACTTGAATCAAACGAATGCGACCAATTGCTTTATAAATACGTTTTTTCACTTTCCCAAGCTAATTTTTTCACTTTCCAAAGCTAATGTTTTCTTTATTCATTTATATGCACCTCTTTTACTTCGTCCTGCTCTTTCTTACGTTTCGCATTGGTTCCCTATTATTTTAGCTAAAGAATACTGATTTCATATTGCAAAAGTCATCGTTTAGGTGAGCATTCTGAAACCCTGATTTCGACATGTATTATCACCTCATTCACAAATATTTGCACAAAAGTCGAGTTACAATAAAGGGTAGTGTATTAATAACTAATTTCTAGTATAACTATATTCACCAATACAGTTTCGGATTATAGTTAATATGTGTAATAAGATAATAGGCTAATAATTATATATTCCGACTCTCAAAGACAGTTTTCCAACTATTCATAATAATTATATAAATATAACTTGCTTTTAAATATTTAAATTGAATATTTAACAGTTTTAAACCAACGTCTTTATCGTTCGTTCGCTGTGCATTGTAGACAATAATAAATCATTGTGAGATTACGATGATTATCATGATTATTTTCTACGGGAAGCTTGAAGTGGACATTGTGAAAACTAAACAAAATGAAAACGTTGGCGTTAAATGGTAAAGAGATTAAAATTATATTATAATTTTCTAAATTTTGTAAATAATTGATTTTGCGTGAAACTTGGATGTTATTAAATTTCAAATCTACATAGTAATACCATTTGTTTATAATTAACTTTAAAGAAAATAACACTTACTTAAAAAAAGACATTTGTAGCTATCTCTTGTGTATTTCTACTGTCGTCAGGCCAACGAACAGCTTTGCGTTCATTTTTCATTTGAGTTCTTGTCCGAAATATTTCTAGTTACTAAACATTTATGTCAAGTTTTTCCTTAAAACTTAAATTATAAATTCCAGGAAAGTTGGTGCTTGTACAAAATTGATGACGCTAAACCGCTACTCAGCAGTTGAGAAACACTGCTTTAGGGACCCTCTTTAGTGTTTTGCGTCTCCAGCGCTGATATATCACCATCTTACGTGTAATGTCGCAGCACTTCCGTTTTTATGCAATAACATAATGCTCTCTGTAGTTACAGATAAATTGCCACAATAATAATCATAACGTCGCCCATAAAGTATCGAACGCTGTAACGTAGAGAAAAAGAGAAAGGCATGAAATATTTTCAGAACCCTTATTTACGAGGCTGCAGCGTAACTGAAATGAATGAGCGCCCCATTAATAACTTCGTGCTGACAAGTTAGCAGTTAACAGAGTGGCTACCCTACGCCGTCTCTTTCCATCCCTCACCCCCCCCCCCACACGCGCTCATCCTCTCGGCCCTCTTCCCGCACCCTCCGCCGGCGTTGCCGCCCCCTCATAATCCAAGCTGAGATGACAAGTCTCCAATTATGATCCGCTTATGGCAGCGTATCCGTTGCAATCAGAGTGGTCCATTAGAGGGATGCTCGCGGGGAGTCGCCCGCAGAAGGCTCCAAAGGGGGGTGGGGGGCGATAGGAGGTGGGGATGGAGGCGGATGAGAGGCGAGGGTGAGGGTGAGAGGAAACCGTTCCCGTCCTTTCGTTTCGGCGAAGAGCGACGTGGGGACGGGGGTGGCGGGTGGGGTGATGCGGGGAGACGCGGAGGCTCAAGCGGACAAAGCGGCGCGGGCGGAGGAGAGCCGCGGCGGGAGTGAACGTGGAGGACGGCAGGAAGTTAATTGTGTCTGCAACAACAACGCGCTCATTAGGCGCGAATCGGACGGCTGCAGCCGCCGGAGGAGCGTTCTTCTTCGAAGCCTTCGGGGGCGGCCGCCGCGGCGACGCGCCCGCGGCACGGAAGCTCTTGTTAGCACACGGCGCGACGCTGCGCGGCGCCGCGCGAGGCTCGCCAGCCCCCGCCCGCCCCGAGGTAATGGACCGAGTTGCCGCTTTGCAGCCTGGCGTCGCCGCGTTTCTACTCAAGGGTGGCTTTAAAAAATTTAAGAGGGGAATTCTTTTAATAAAGGAAACGCTTTCTTGGTTTAATATATTTATGGTTACAAATAAATTGATGTTTTGTTTTCATTTATGAACAGATTAAAAACAAAACGTCTAAAAATATTCTTATTCGTCTTTTTGTTAGTACTACTTTTTAAACCGGAAATATTTTTAATGTAATAACGATGCCAACGTTTCAAATACTAAAATAAAATATTTTTAAATGCCTGTCAGTAATCACGTGTTCAAATTATTACACAAATATTTCATTTATATTTATATATTTTTTTATTTTCTCCTCAATATGTACATTTTGCATGGTTATATACACCACCCTCACTCTAACTCCCATCCCCGCCCATAAAGACGCCCCTGATCCGAATGAGGTGTTAGTTAGGAGGTCCATGCAGCTAGTGCAGTTGAAGAACAGGCCAATGAGATTATTATCCCATTGACCTCATTTTCTCATTTCTTTTTGTCCTCGTTGTGGGATGACCTTAGAAGGCGAGACGTTTCAAGTAATAACTAGTGGTGCTAAAACAGTAAGTAATTTCTCCCCACAATTTCTCGCCGCAAAATTACTCGAATAGTACTCAAATTTTTTAATAATTCTATATGACCTTATTTTAAAATATCTCTTTAAAAAACAGATTTCATTGAGGGAAAAATCTCTATCTTCGTATTTGTAGCTTAAGGAAGACACAAAGTATTTGAATTTTTGCAATTTTTTCAACGAAAGAGTACGGAGTTTTCAACGAAAATGGGACCTGTCCCTTTCTCTTAAACGTTCTTCACACTATCCAACAACACTTAATCAAAAACTATGGAGTAATTTGTTTTGAAAATTTTGAAAATTTCCCAGGGGAATCTTGTAAAGTATCCACCAAAATAAAATATCGGTTACAAATTCAAAGGGCCTCGACATCATCCAGATCGATTGGAGAATATCAATTTTAGAGAAAATCGTCTGAATGGTATAGCCGCTAGCATTATTCACACACGGACGGACAATCAAACGTTTTGCATCATTCGATTTTTCGGTATAAAGGACCCACAAAACATGGATTCTGGCTACAGGATGTGTTAGAGGATTTTTTCTAAATTTATCAACTGGATTTATCCACTTTTTCATTAAAAGGGCCTTGCAATAAGAGTTTTCTGCCGAAAATCAGCCATTTTTCGCGAAGCATTACCTTACTTTCCCTTTATTGCGTAAACAGTAGCGAAAAATTAAAAAGTATCTATTCAAATACGGAATGTAAGAACTTTTTTTCATTTTTAGTAATAAATACTATACCGATTATATTAACTTCTACCCGATTAGCACACTTATGAAGTTTCGTAACCGAAGAGGTTCTAAATCCAGTTCAGACTGCCGATTCTCGATAGGAGCTAAGTAAGCGATTCGGACAACGCATCTGTCCAGATAAGAACTCCAATTACTCACATCGGCCGCTTCCGTGGTTTCCTGCAAACAATTCCACATTGATGCCAGAGCATTATTTGAAAACACGAGCAGCGCGCGATATTTACTCCTACGATCCTCACTCCCATTTTAGAATCGGACTATAGGCTCGTTCTAACATCCTCATATGGCTCGTTCGCCAAGTTCATTAAAGACTCTACCAGTACTCAGTTGCGCGTTTGTCAAGCCTCAGTCAAGACTCCAGGAGGTCTGATCAGCTGGGAAGGCTCAGTGAAATCATAGAATTTACCCTTCGTATTGTCCCTTCCCAGGAGATCCTAAGGATCATACATACTCCACGGTGGTGGAATTCCGCCACAAGCTTCATAGCCAGACCGAATCCAGCTGCTGTTTGGAGGAGAATTCTAGCATTCGGCTACTCTGTTCGGTAGTTTTCGTGGTTTCTCCTATAAATACCAGGCCGGATGCCGTGGCATTACCTTAATAAACGGTCCAAGAAGTGCGTGAGTTATTTCTTTCTTAATCCTTGTCCTCTCCCATCCTCTTAGATACATACACACATACTAACATTCTGTGCACTACCACATATTTCGGGAGACCAGAAGAGAGAGAGAGAGAGAGAGAGAGAGAGAGAGAGAGAGAGAGAGAGCAATTATTTTCAACCAAGTTGAGTTAGTTGCAGTGCCATAGCAAGTTTCCTGCAATTTTACATACTTAAAGTAACTACTGCCACTTTTTTCATATTGCCGGGGATACCCACAATTGAGTTATTTTCTCAGAGCCATAACTTAATGTTAGCTACTTTTTGCCGGTGTTCCTCAGTAATGTAAATATTTAAGCTTCGCGAGATATTGAGACAATGATGGACAATTGTATGTTATGAGAGTAATCTATGAATCTAAGTGTAGGTCGTGAATTGTAATGGCACCAAGTGGAAATGGTAATTGTTTCATTAGCCGCGAAGCGGTCGCTGAAGTTTAATCTGAGTTTTACGACCCTGTTGAGATCAGTCGGCCTCAGGGCGAAGAATCTCGTTAGAACCAACCGTTACGCTCTCAACGAAAACGCACTTGCGTAGATGCTTAGCGTGAGTCGTGTTTACAAACGCGGAAGAGGCAGAGAAGTAGTTTTCGAGGAAGGGAGAATAAATATTAGAAGAAAAAGCTTCTTATTTACATACTATTCATTCTCTTCCTATTACCAGAAGAGATTAAATCTTATACAGACCTTTTAATGCAATAATTGTTTGAGAATTTGTACAAATTGTAACATAATTCTTTTTATTTATTTATTTATTTATTTATTTATTTATTTATTTATTTATTTATTTATTTATTTATTACAGGTTATTTACAATTATACAATCCAAATGGTAAATAATACATTAACTGTCATTGTTAAAATTAATATTTCTTTCCTTTTGGATGCTCGGTATAGTCTCTAATTGTAGAGAAACAGTTGTGCAGCAGAAAAGATTTTATTTGGGACTTAAACTTTTGTATCGAATTTAATCGTGTAATGTCATATGGCAAGGTTTGTAAAATAATGTTTAAGTATATGAATTTTTTGTTGTAAGTTGTTGATACCGTGATCTGATGAATATGATTACTACGTCGAGTGCTGAAGTTATATAGATCATCGTTTGCTGAAAATATATTCCCACCATTAAGCAAGTCATTTTCGACAGAAAACACTGATTCATATATCAAGAGACAAGGTAATGGTAATATCCCTGTATTAATAAAGAGAGGTTTACAAGGATCACGTGGGTCGGATTTCCTTATTATTCGTAAAATTATATTTGAAATCTAAAAGCCTAGTAGCTGCGAGACGAATTTCCCCAGAATATTATGCCATATCTCAAACGGGAATGAACATTCGAAACATGCGAAATATACCCAACGACCTGTATGAAGGGCGCACAAGTCTTAAACAATCAATAAGGAAATTCATCTAAACCGGCCGAATATTTATTTTTTAGTCTGCCGATTATTTTTACAATTTCATTGGAAGAAGTTTTAGAAACAAACATCGTGTCTATAATTTTCGGGGAAATGTCTTATGCTGAATTTTGTGGTTGAAGTCTCTTAGCGAGATCAGCAGCAATTTTCGAAAAGTATTAGTTAAAGAGATTAGCCACTGTTGCCGCACCGTTCACATTTCAATCGTTATCTGTTAAAACGACATTTTCTACAAGGTTTCTATTTGAGTTCAAAATATGCTGATCATGTTTCATGATATTAGCCTGCCTAATGACTTTCCTTAACAATTATTTTTATTTTTTAAAGTAGAGGAAATCTTGAGATACGTTATGATGCTTAAAAAAGAAAGAAAGAAAGAATGCGTTTATTTTTACATGATGTCCTAGTCCCATGTGTTATTCAAGAATTTATTTTCCGTGAAATATTAAATTTTCTTTTTTGAAGAGGGATGCAATTATTGAAATGAAAGCGTTGAAAAAAAGAATTCTATTTATTGTTTGTATCAACCCGCGTCCCATGACTCTTGCAGCACATAATTGATGATTAATTTTATTTTATTTTAGTAAGCAGAAAACGAATGTCAGAATAAAAAATAAAATAATAATGAAAATATGCTTATTACACCGTAATGAATTCCCTAAGAATAGTTTCTTTGACCGTTCGTCTCTGTTTCTCCATTACTTGAATGGACTCTGTTTGGGGTCAGATTTTACCTCACACGTTTTACTCAATAATTTACCTGTATTTCATGCACGGATGCTACTTGGAATCATTAATTAAGAAAATTGTGCTATTTATTTGCTTCATTACAATATTGTACTAAAAAAAGAATAATATTTTCAGAAAAGCATTCTAGCGGCTACAAAATCGTAGTAGACAAATACGCCAATTGTCTTTCAGAAACAACATATTGTTATAAAACGGAAATGGTCCTGTTTTTATATTTATTTCTTATAATTAAGACGTGTAATGTGGAATTATCTGGAAGCATTCGGATCTCAGCCGAATGAAAATCATATTACTTCAAACCAAGAAACCTTATGAAACTGAAAAATTTACAAAATATGTTATGTAAAGTTCATGCATACAACATACGTGAAATTCATGTGAATAATTTTCAGTGAGTTGCAAAACATTATTAGGACCTGGGATCAGAAATGACCGCAGAATCTAAGGGTTAACGCTTTTTGCCTAGAACTCCATGTCCATCCACGTGTATTATGCTGCTGCAATACTTAAAAAATAATTTATAGCTTATTTATTTTTATAGGGTATTTAATTTTTCTCCTAATTTTTCGATTGTTCTAAAGAGCAAATTCGCTGTTCCGAAAGTACTTTCAAATAAGCACTACACACATCGACGAATCGCAGTGTTATTTGTGAATATAACTTGTTAGATTTGTCATGCTAAATATATGATTTCTTTTTGCCACAGCAACATTCGGTATGAGGAGTTTGAGATGCCAGCCAAAGGTCTGAAACACATGAATTTGGGGTGAGTACACGCTTGAGTGGTGTGCGACTAATCTTATATCGCTCTTTAATTTCAGCTGCCTGCTCTGCTCGTCGCTGTAAATAAAATTAATTTACATCATATTTGTACGGCGCAAATGTAAAATTAAGTTACGCTGTATGTTCTCGCGTTTCCCGATTGGGTTTCCCACCTGACATGTTGTTTAACGCTACATGCGGTAGCCCGTTTGTCCATGCACTTCAATGGTTACAATAAAGGCTCTTCAAATTGGGAAATGCATTCAACGAAATCTCTTGCTACGTTTGACGGTTAGCAAATTGGATTTTTTTGCAATTGGATTTCAGCGTTCTTTTTCTCTCACACAGTTGTAATTTTTTTGCTGGAGAGAGATTGTAATATCTTCGAAAGTTGATACGCAGAAACAGAATACTTCACCGTGACCCTAATTCCAATGTGTCGGACTTCACGTGATAAGAAGTTTATAATAATTCATTATTATACAATCATGTCAATTCCCAGTCTGTTAGCACAGGTAATAGTTACACAAATTCCGCCGTGGTTGAAATGAATGTATTCCAATTATACAGTAACGAATGACAGTGAATGTAATTTAAACTTCACGACTTAAACATTAGAATTACATATTATTTTATGTTTATTCGAAAGTATTTACATTATCATTTTTTGTCTCTTTTCAAATTAATAAAAATGAAATAACCGAAAAATTTTTAGAATAAGGAAATAATATTACTATTTCTTTACAATATAATTATTGTATAATTTACGTGTCAGTTCATGTGCTAATGTCTTCTATTATAAAAAACGTTATTGAAGTATCTGCGCTGATAAACAAATAGCTGTGAAATGAATATATCCTTCATTAGTAACCAAGTGACCAAGTACATTAGATAAAATATTTTTTATATCAGTAATTGTCGTAAGAGATTGATTATCAAAGTGTGCCTTGTATGTTTTCTTCCGCTTTATTGTGATTTGTTCTAATTTTCTAGAATCAACAAAACGTTAAAATATTTAATTCAGATTGCATCTTCATTGAGATCATTTATGTGCAATAACTACACAGGGCCGCAACTTCTCTTTCTAGCAAACAGCACAGAAGACCTGTGCAGAAGAACTGGCGGCACCTTCAGCGGGCAGTGCTCAAGTCCTTTTCCGGCGGGCAAAGAGGGTTAAAATAAGTGGTTGTAAAATCTCGCCCTCTCCCTGTCCGCGGAGAGGCCGCGCACCGCTCACGCGCGCTCTACGCTGTGCGCTTGTTTTGCTTCGCTTTGTTTTGCTTTTCCATCTCCTCGCCCGCCCCAAACAACAAATAGAATCCATTTAGCAGAACAGGTTCTCCGACGGCGCCGACGCCAGCGGGCCCGCTGCTGCACCATCCGCCGCGCCTCGCCACGCCACGCCACGCCACGCCACGCCACGCCACGCCGTGCCGCCGGCCGGTCGGCCCCTCGCCCGCCCAGGCCAGCGTTCTCGAGAGGCAATCCGCGGTATTGGCTCGCCCGAAAGGAGCAGGTCGAAAGACAGAGAAGACGGGCGGTAGAGGGGCCGAGAAGGCTGAAGCGAGAGGGGTCCAAAAGCACGGAAGGTGATGAGGGGGGTAGGAGAGGGGGAGGTAGGGGGGTAGGGTAGGGGGAGGGTCAGCGGTCAACTCTCAGCACCTCGACGGCTCCTCGTGAAAAGCCTGCAGAGACCGGCGGGCCGCTGTTGGCGCCGGGCGTACTAATTAAGAATATTGTCACCCGGGCCCGTGCACCTTCGCTTCGGGGCCGCGACCCACTTCAATCCAGAACCAGCCTCCCTCCCCATAGCCGCCCCTCCACTCACGCACTTCGAACTCCCTCGGCCCCGTGAGTGCCATTTGGCCGGTGCCGCCTTTTCAGACACCTTCCTCTCCCTCTTCCTCCCCCTCCCCGCCTCTCCCCTGACGCTGTGTCCCCCTCGTTCTCGGAGAGCGAACAGGTGGACCGTGAGTGAGTCTAGCCGTCTTGTCGCCCGGTTGCTAGAGGAGGAAGAGCCTGTGGTCCGGCCTCTCCGCCAGGATTTCTCTCCGGAGTAGCCGCGGCAGAAGGTGGGTGATGGGGGGAGTGACGTTGTGTAAACGCAGACCCTCTGTCTCCTCCTCGGTTCCTTCCCAAGACTCTTTTGTTCATCGCGAGAACATCCAGAGGCTCGCCTCGCTCCAGCGCCGGAACGACGGGGTGCGACTTGAAGGAAATCACTTCTTCAACGACGGGGCGCGTCGGTCTCAAGGGAACGCGCCAAGTTCGTGGATTCCAACCCACCCGACTTCCCTGGCTTTGCGATAGTTCAAACCCAACGGGACAAATGGCACGTGTTTATTCGGATCGTTGAGTAAAAGAACCATCGAGGATCGTTAACGATGAAGGCAAAAATCTCACGATGATCAAAGCGGAGTTCGTATTTGCATTGAAGACGACGCGAAATACTGTAAAATTCAGAATAGAAGATTCCATCATGAGTTCTCAAAGTGAAAATGGTTGTATTCGGTAGTTTTTTAAGTCTGTGTTTAAGATGATATACTGGTAATTTATTAATTTTCTCCATCTTTCACTTTATTCATCTCGTTTTTTGAGTCTAGCGTTGTCTTACTGTTTTGTATACATGTAACATAGTCAGCTGTCACTCAGATTTCAATAAAATGCACTTCTTGAAATTGCAATTAATTCACAATTGCAATTAAGTCAGACCTGTCATTCTGAGATTTGAGAAGCTAACAGAATTTAGTTACCAACAGATATTGTATGTTTCAAGAGTTTCTTAAATTTAGTTGCATTAATCTTTATACAACTGATCTTACTATTAGTATTGGTAATATGTAGAATTAATTTATTGTACTGCTAAATCATTTAACTCTAATGAGTATTTATTGGAGTTTACGCCATTTCTCATAACACTCCGTAGAAATATTGCTTGGCACTAGCTCTCTAGATTTTAAAAATCGTCTGTAGCGTCACCACACTGTGACAAGCTCCATGGTGCAACGTATTTGAAAAACAAGACTTACATTCAAGCCCTCGGCTAAAATCGAACCTGTGATCCTTTGGATAAAAGCGCTTGTATAGCAAACGGTGCAGTACCCTCTGCTTCCGCACCACCTTATTTTTATATTTTTTGAATACAATTAGGATTACAGTTAATACATATTGATAGAGTACGCATTTTTTCTAGTTTCCACAATGTTATTTCAGATATTTTTAATCTATATTAAATTCCGTAGTGGAAATCTATATTATTTTTTTAGAAAATATTTGAGCTTCATTTTACCCCTTTGAGACAGTTTTTGTTCATTGTTTACATCATTCACTGTTATTTTCAATCTAATTTTGTAAAGAGCTTGAACATGAAAAGAAATCGATTTTCCGGCAAAATAATTACATTTACGAGCTGTACTCTCTACAGCAATGTTCTAATTATACTGATTCTTACAATTTCCTGTTACCCTGAACCATATTGAGAGTTACGAATATCATATCCATGTAAATTAACATTGTATCAATTCTTTTTGAGTGCTTTTACGCAGAAATATGGGTCAAAGGTTACAACCAACACCTCCTTATTTCATTCAAAGGGTAAGCCTTCTCATCAGTTTCCACTTACTATTTTTTAGCGTAATGAGATTTACTTCGTAATACGAAATAATCGCTGGTGTCGAAATAACTTACATTCATAGTGCATGCGATTACTATACACATGGACACTAAAACTTATTTTAAACTATGCTTCTTTTATATAATTTCCCGAGTTATCTTTGTAATAATTCCAACATTCATATTTGTAGAATTTTTGTGTTCCTATATTATTATTATTATTATTATTATTATTACTATTATTATCATAATATGTTTTAATGGTTTCTCCTGGCGTGTATGTTCTCTTTCGTTTCTTATCTACATTGCCCTCTTCACATGTATCAAATCAAATTCTTATATTCCTGATAGTTAGACGACCAGAAAAATTAAACTTTCTCGTCATCCCATCAGGGTTTAATTTTTTCTTTATTTTTAATTTCATTCATATAATTATGTTTATTTATTGTCTCGGTTATTAACACACAAGCTTTAACGATTCAGGAATATAATATAGAATATTTATTCATTCAGTTTAGTACCAAATTACAAATTATTTCCATTTTTGGGACCCATGACGTGGAATCTTCCAGGTCGAGAACGTTTTTGATATCCGTAATAGCGAGATAATTTTCGAAGAACACCACCAGCCGAACTTCGTTCACACGGGGACCAGGCCATGTGTCCGAGTCTTTAGAACTTCATCTTGTAATTGTAATCTATTGCATTAACAGGTCACGTTTCCTCATCTGTGACGTTGACACCAATTCCTCTGTTCAAATGTGTTTAGAACCTTAATCCTGCATTCATATTTGTTGGCTACTGGACGCAATCAAAATGCTCATAAACGATCAGGATAGCTATCCCATTCTGAGGGTGCTATCTGTAACAACTATGGGATTTGGACAACTTGGGACAATAACTAGACACATTGGGAGTATTTCTTGGCAAATGTAGGCGTTCGCGTCCACAGGTTTGTGATAAACGGCTGGACCTCTCGCCATGTTCTGTGACCTCCGAGACGAATTTCCTGTCAATTTGGACCCTCTGACCTGGATCGTGACCCAATTTCCTTGATTCGCAAGTCTGCAATGTCCGCGTTTGTGTTCCATCGTTTGGGTCCCTCCTGACGTATGCTGCGCTCCTCGACGCACGCTCCGCCCGTTGGCGCGTTCGATCTCCCGCGGGGGCCGCGCAACTGTCGTGGCGTGGATGACGATGACGGGTCCGCAGGTACAGCAAGTCGGAAGACGAGAAGGCATTCGTTGGCGGAGACGAGCTCGGCACGCCGGAGTCGCTGCCCGAACCGGAGCGGCCACCGCTGCGCCACATCGACAAGTACGTGCGGCCCGAGTGCCCGTGCCTCACCAAGCGCTACACCGTCGCCCTCCTCACGTGCGTCGGTAAGAGACCCCCCCCCCCGCTCTGCGCCACGTGCTCGCGCAGGCAGGGCCAGCTTCGGTCCCAGACCCTCCCCCCTCTGCTCTCCCATCCTTCTCTATAATAAACGGTTTCACTGTAATTGCGGTTCGGCTTCTCTGCAATTATAGAAATAGTTATACAGCTATCTCGGAATAAATGTTACAAACTCCTAAGGCAAGTAGAGGGATCGAAATTTATCACTTTTTGCACTTGAATATACGGGGGAAATATCCTGTAATGAAGTTACGCGTGTGATATTTGACCCTAATTGGAAGGGAACTCGTCTTGTACTGGTGTCTGCTATGTACACAAAATCGTTGACTTTGTCAGAACGACTACCTTTCAGAATACCAGAGTTGTGTGAGTTGTCTATCAATAAGGGACACATTTTACATGTGCAACTTCGTTAAATGAGATTTCCCACCACGTATTGACAAAAAATAATGTTCAAACTCTCTACATATCCTAGAATTGTGTATCATTTATTCTAAGATCTGTATATAATCTCAATGCACAGTTCTCGCTTAATGACGACCATTTATCTTTTAGTTAATTTTTTCTAACCATTAGTTAAAATGTTTGGAACCTTCTCAAGACTAAATGGTCTAGAACATCACAGCACAATATGAATACCTTATACAACAATTTTAATTGTGCACATTCTCAAAAATATAAATTTTGTATGAAATAAACTTAATTTTTACACACCAATCTTATAATTCTTATGAATTAAAAATAAACTTCAATCACTCATTAGAATCATTCTGTGTAGTAGGTGTACTTTTTATGTTCTTCTATTCCATTTAGCCTTGAGAGATCAAAAATACGTCCGAAACGTTGACAGTAATGAAATATATAATAGTCACCTACACACAAGGAATGTGAGTGTAACAGTTTCTTGTGTTTGCTCCAGACTTCTCGGGCGAAATCGTGTCTTGGACTTTTGCCTACATTTGAACAACACTTATGTTTTCATCTAGGCCCTCGAGATAGTAAAACAGTGATTTGGCAATTTTTTCCCTACTCGTGTGTTGGTTTCTCCACGATCTAAAATCCCTTTCATTGCTGCCTACATCGCATCTGAGCACTAAAAACCGACACAAAAATTTAACACAAACATTGGTTTATCAGTCCATGACGCGGCGTCAACCGTATCAACAAGAGCAAACACACGACTCTTGCCGCGGAAGCCTTCGACTTCGCCTTTTAGGCTGTTTCGACATTACGTTAGGAGTGCAACGAGTGGGCTGGTCTTCAAAAAGTGCGCTCTACAGTGTCAGAAAATGTAACTAATTCCCTTTCGGTGTAAAATGTTCCTCTATTTACTCCTGATCCTGAGAAAGAGATTTCAATTGAATAATTGATAACAGAACTTCTACAGGCGGAGCAACACTTCTCGTATTCAGCGAAAGTAGAAAATGTAAAAAATGCTAAAAGTAGCAAATGCTACGTGCAAAAAATACGAAAATACGAAGGTTTAATCTGCACCAAACACTTTCAGCTTCTTTATTTTAGGTCTCAAAGCGAGACGCAACCACAAGAGCTCTGTGAGAACTTTGCCTGCCTTGGCATTACAGAGAGTACCACTTAGCATCCAATCTAGTTGACGTAGGCTTCCGGGGCCGAAAGCAATGTAGACTTTTGGTGTGTCGTATTCAGTAACTTATTAACCAGTACCTTCAGTAACAATGGCAAAATATTAAACATGAACAATGCATAAACGTCCTAGAATTTTCTACCGAGTTCGAATAATTACATTAACTTTGTCAGTGTCAAAGTATTTTTTTTAATTTCATGGATTTATGGGCTAAAATGCATACATGTATTCTCACTTTTAGAATATCGCAATCTGCCGCCTAATTATCTGCCGAAGACCTACGTGTTGAAAGACAGCAATTAAAAGTTTCTTTGTAATCAAATGAAAGTATTTTATTTTTAAAATACTGGAGAACGTTTCCTTGATTACATTTCAACAGGCGATCCTTCTACTATTTCGAAAAACAAATGTGATGAGAATAATATCGCTAAGACGCATGCATGTAACGACCGTCTCGCAGTTCTACCGCTTGAACCGGTTCAAGAGAACGTGGGACGAAGCAGATTGAAGCGAGCACCGTAAGCAACGCCTCGTTGACGTGACAAAATGCAACGGCATTTCTTCTCGATTCCTGCTGCCATTTAGACGTGTTTTGCGGGTTGCCTACTCTCGTTGTGTTGCCAGGTTAATTATGTTCTCTACACTAATACTAAATAAAGTGTACCGATAACAATAGATTCCAGATTATTTGTTCCATTATTATATGTGCAAATGAATATTAATAGTGTAAATATACGCTATTGCAACATCAAAAAGACTAATAAATTATTTCTTTATTTAGAATTAACTTCCCCTTGTACTAACTGACAATGGGTTCATAAAAAGAAAATGTGTTAATATTATATTATTATTATTATTATTATTATTATTATTATTATTATTATATATACACCTTATAATATGTTTAATTAATGTAAATAAATATAAATTATTAGTTTTGACACTATTTGGGGAATAGGCTTTGCGTCCATAATGCATTATAACAATTGTGCAAAACGTGTTACAAATAAATTGTGCAAGTTGAAAACTCCAAACTCCACAATGGCCGTCAGATCTAACCTCATAAATGCGGTTCAAGATTATATGAAATTATCTTAGGTTCACGACAAGTGCTAAGTCTTAAAGTGCAATACAGTGTAGTGTCAGAAATTGTAAATAATTGTTTGTTTTTCTTGGTACTTGAACAAATTAATACGAGATGTTATGAACGCTATACCTGAAAATTAAGTAGTATAACTCCTGAGAAAGAAGTTATTCAACTTTTTGCGTGAACCTAAAAATGAAGTTGAAGCAACCTGCTTCATACCAAAAACTTTCAATTTCATTATTTGGAAGGACTTTGTACAAAACAAAAAAAAACAATCTTGATAGTTTTAAAGTAGTCTGTTTCAAGAGTTAAAAATTCTTAAATTACCAATACGATCTTAAAGATAGTATGCTCTCTATGAAAATGAGAAACTAAGTCCACACCAAGCTGTCTTTGAAAAAAGGTAATAGTTTCATATCAATTTTTGTTTCATTTCGGCTTGAAAAACGTCAATTTGCTTTTCTAGTAGTGTTTTACATTCGATATACTGCTATGACCTATTCGTCTGCATTTGTACTTTCTTTTATCGTACTTTCCCCTCTTCAGAATGCCAATCGGTCCTGCTCGTCTAGCGCTTTAACTTTAGAGTGCTACAAATTTTAAAAACATGTTTGTGTATAGTAATTCGCAAATATTTGTTTTCTAATCGCTTTTGAACGCATCTCATCTGTTTTACATTTTCTTACATTTTTTTATAATGATAATTTGTCTTCAGGACAGAGCATTGTGGAATTTGAAATTCGTCGTGCATAATTAATTCCTAAGGTAAGAAAATTACCTGACTCAAAGAAAATACAAAATAAAACAATAGAGTAAATAGTGATTAATTAAACCGCTTTTCTTTACCATCAACTGAACCAAAAGCAAAGAAAATGTCTTTTGTCCCTTATTTTGGTGCCTTATATAACTTCCCGTTCCCCAGCCCTTAAGCCGGCCCTGCCTTTAAACTAACAGTGTTTTACATTAAATTGTGTGATTTTGAATTTTTCATATGCATGCAAATGGAATTTTATGTGTATTTTCTATAATTACCAGTTGGCAATTTTTAAGAAGTATATCAAATTGCTGGCATTTTAAAATTTAGTGCAGTCGAACGACACTTCAGTACCGATTAAGGTTGTTTACGCGAATAAAACCCGGTAAAATAGAAATGGTACTCTTATCACAGACAAAAAGAATAATGTTGTCTCCTCAAAATCGATAGTAGCTTCCAGAGCTTTAGATTCTGCTTTTCAATCAGTAGCGATTGCTAGTCACTTCAAATACAAATAAGAGCTCTAAATATAGCTTTTAATCATATTTTAATGTGACAACCACCTAGGAGAACGCGGAATTAATTATACTCTGCGTTTAATTAATTTACTCAGAGTATCTGTAATTCTCTGAATATTCAAGCACAAAAATATGTCTGCAGCAGTATTTTACTGTTACTAATAATCCTAGATAATCCACAAATTAGTCAATGAATTAATTAATTTCTGGTTAATTGAAATGATCCCTCTTAAACCTCCTCTTTTCTGAATTTAATAGCCAGGAATGTATTATAAAATCGTTTTCAAGAAATTATTATATAAATATAACATGATTTTTACAAATTAAAACAGTTATTTGACCATTTCATGTTTAAAAAGAGGTTGTACTGTAATCTTCCATAACAATATAACGTGTATTCACTGCTAGTTCATGTATAAAAATGAACCATTCAGATTTGTGTCCTCTTTTTGCTAATACTAGTGTTTATGACTTATATTTTCGAATAAACTTTTTTTAATGTTCTTTTACAATTAGTGTTAAACAACGTTTTGTTTACAGCCACATACTGGCCTGGAACGTTCTTGAAAATTCGATACAGTTTTGTTTTAAATTTTCATTTTCTCTCCCAGATTCGAGCATTTACGCAAAGTAATTGAAATGTTCGGAAAAATATTGACAAGTGTTTTAAAATAAATACAATAAATAGTTATTGAGACAAATATCAGTAAATTCATGCCATTATTCATATTTATAAAACTAATTGGCAAATTCAATTCACATTTTAATTTTAAGCCATTTTTATGTGACCCTAAATCGGTCACGAGGATTTCTGATAATTCTATTAAAAGTAAGCTACTGGTGATCCATCCTAACATGAATTTCTTGTGTTTCTACCGGTTTTATTTTCGTTCCTTTAATAACGACGTCATTGTAGCAAAACAACTGTGGGAAAATGCTCTTAAGGGAACTAAAAAGTTGTTTTGGGGAATAGGTAAGGTGCGAGGTGATCATCGCCAGATCGATGGGACAATACTGTTCTATTTCATTTTCGTATGTATTATTCGCAGGTTTCATCATCTCCTTCGGAATGCGTTGCAACATGGGCATGGCAAAACTACAAAAAAAGCACGGGGTAAGTAGGTACCTACTAATCCATTAATACTCGATTGCTTAATTTTCAAACACTTGATATTTAACGCACCTGTCTCCATGAATGGTCGGAGAAGCGGGGGTAATTGGGGTCACTGGGTAATGGGAGTGAGCTGTAAATTAACGATAAATAATGTAAAGAACCGATATTGAAAGGCAGGAACATACGCCTTGTATTAATCATGATTACTATAACCAGTTGATCGCCACAGCCAAAGAAAACTGAGTGGTTGATGTTAGAAAGTACTCTCAAACAATAAGGTCTTACTCATGTGAACTTGGAGAGTTCTAAAAGAATTAAAATTTGTTGGAAGAGAGGTACTAAGTAGATTTGATACCAAATGCGATTAATTTTAATCATTCTAAAAATATTTATGAGTAGTTATGATAAGCATGTGCTTGAGGGATAATGGTGGTCAGTGATTCTCATTATCGCAGTGTGGTTAGCATTGCTCCAAACAAAATAATTTATTGATCAGAATGAGTGCCCCCTGGTGCTATTTAAACATGTATCAATAATGGCTGAACAGATGAAGAATTCATCGAAGGGCTTGGAATAGTCAAACACTTTAAAAGCTTTACTTGACCAACTGCCCAGGACCAAGTGCCACTGACCTCGGACAACCTCGGAAGTCACATCATTTTTAGGCTTCTACAATTATTGTAAACAAAATAAATACATTCTGAAGTACTAATTTTGTTCATTTTGCTTCATATTGCTTTAGTGACTCTTAATACCCACATCGTGACTCCCATTACTCGCATATAAGGATAATGAGGGTGAAATGCAAATTTCTAGAAATTCAATATTTGATAGGGTTTTAGTGAATTTTTTGAAGTTTTAATTTATAATTTTTGTGGTGAAAACACATGCTTAATAACTATGATATAAAAACATACTTGTTCATAGGAACAATTCGTACTTATTTATATTTAAAAAAAGTGACCCTCATTACCTTAGCTTCCCCTAAAAGACAAGCGAATGAATGGAATAACTAATGGTTTTACTTATCAAATTCATTACTTTTTTGTAGTTTTTTACCTTATTCAATCAGTTCATTTAAATGGCTTTGAAATTTTGAATATAAAAATAATTCATAACAGTTTTAGGTGAAACGTAAAGTGTCTAAACTATAATGATTAGCAATGAACATATCTTAATCCGATAAATTAATTCTCTAATCGCAATTCTCTCATTACAATAAATATAGTGTGTGCTTTCTCGAGTTAAACCACACTTCACTTCCTTTAGAGGATTACAAACAAGAAAAATTACCTCTGAAACGATATTTCGAAAGTTATTTTCAACTCATCTTCGACAATGTATTAATTACTTTGCCTATATCATAACCCGTGGGCCAAAGTTCGTGTCAAACAATGCACTTGTATTTTTTATACATTTTAATTTCGTTATTCATTGTATGATCTCCAACGTCCATAACCTTCAAATAATTTCATTTTTTCCACAACTTTAACTGTTCAGTGCGTTTTTAATATTTAAATACGAATATTCTGCAGGGATATTTAAAGGATAATTAGGATAAATAAAAATATCGTATTGTTAAAATAATAACATTATTGACAAGGATGACTGGGTTTACTCCCTTAAAATTATCACATAAAATTAGTTTCATTCCTTGACTTAAATACGAGAATTTTAAAGACCCTCCTTTGGGGTTTCTCACTTAAAGTCACCAGGCTGGTGATATATTACTTTTTTCTCTCTACAGGTACACTTCCATTAAAAACTCGCAACGGCTCTTCTTCGTAGGATTTCTACGTAAAGTTTCTTTCCTTAAATAAGAACGAACAAACAGTTTAGCAACACCCTCTGTCGCTGACGAAATGACTGCTATAATTGTGCATCTTTCTTAATACATCCCGATGATCATTCCCATCACGAGGGTTTTTCGTCCTTTACTATTCAAGGCTATGAAAGAGAAATATTATACATGGCTTCTTGCTCCCATTGTAAGTTTCAGCTCCATATAGCGTTTTGTTCGCTATATTTCCTTTTCGCACCCTCTTGTCGATGCTTTTATATTTCGGGCCGGAAGTGAGCGAGTCGGCGTGCGCGCGGCGGAAAGAGGGAGAAGGAGGGAGGGTGAGGGTGAGGGGAAAAGAGAAGAGGGAAGAGCTGGGGCAGGAACACCGAGAAGAGTGCGGGCCGCGATGAATGGAATCAGAATTACAAATGCCGGCGCTCGCGCTCCGCCGCGCGCCGCCCCCGAACGCCACATCGCCGTTTCGGAGGAAGGGGCGGGGAGCGGGAGTGGGGAAAGAGGCGGGAGGGGCGAGGCGAGAAGAGTGCTTGGGGTGCAGCGGCCAAGGGACACACGCGGCGCCGGCCAGAAACACTCGGCACGGCACCAGGAGGCGCTACCCGCCGCCTCGTGCAGCGCAGGCAGGTTGAGACGGCTCGGGGAAATATCGGTTGTTACTGCAGCGTCTCTGACCACCACGACATTGGGTTCGAATCTGGATGGTGACGGATCCAGATGAATAGCGGAAAACTAGCTTAACAAACGAGGCAAAGACCGCGCGAAATCTTTGAATATTTCTCATTCTTATCGCTTCCTTTCCCCTTTCCCCCCTCTCTCTCTCACACTCTCACTCTTTCTTTCTCTCTCTCTTTCTCTCTCTCTCTCTCTCTCTCTCTCTCTCTCTTTCTCACACACACACACAGAATCTCACAAGCTGACATGTAGGTCAGTTCCGCATCTCACGTTTCTGCTGAGGAGGATCATCGTCACCTTCCAGGCCATCCCATGTACTACACTTGACACGGTACTATTGACCACAGCGGTTGACAAGAGACCAGAAACAAAGTCATCGAAGTGCTTATTCGACAAAGGAAGGAAAGATTACGATATCTTTCACGTAAATTTAAATGTGCTCGATGGCGAAAATGCAACACTATTCAAAAATGTAAGTTAATTAAATATCATTATCACGTTTCGTGATTCTGAATACTGTACGAGTGAAGGAGTTGGAGATCTTACCGAAGAGATGGCAAGAATAAAAAGTGTTACTAAGGACGTTTTCGAAAAAAGGGAACATTTCAATAAATTGTTTATCGTGTCTTTTTTATCAAAGAAGAGAACATAAATGGAGAAAGTAAAACTAAATGATGTCAGAAAAGTTTAAAGTGAACAGAAAAAAAGTAATAAAAGTTGCAAGGAGCTTCTATGCATATTTGCTCCCCTGGTCGATCTCAATCATGTCTCTTACACGATATAATGGATGTAAGTAACAAACCCAATATGCAATGATAATAAGGTTAAAAAAGAGAAGAGAAATTCACGAAATTTGCAAACCTTTCATTATGCCTTTTCTTGTTCCTCTGTTATTTCCGTAAAGAGTCGCAGTGGGATGGAGTATTAGAAGGTAGAATTATTCTGAAAATTAAGATGTAAATAATAAGAAAGAATGCAGCATCAATTAACGAAGGTGAAGTTTTCAGTGATGTCTTAGGGAAGTAATAATATGAAAATAATAAAGAATTATCATATATTAAATTATAATATAAATCACTTTTTTATCGTTGCGCTGTTGTAATAAAGAAGCGTACTAAGAAATGCAGAACGCTTTGTTCTAATGATACCGGATATCTTTCCCCTATTCTACAATCCCTTTGAACCGTTTCGTTTTTAGATTTAATTCCGTTTGGTGAAAAAATGGTTTTGTAAATAAATGTAATATATGCCACTTGACGTATTTTATGATGACTACAAAGAATCTGGTTCCCTGTCACTTCCAAACATATTTCGTAGCTCGAAAAAATATTATTCCTCGAAATATATTCACCATTGGATATGAAGGTATGTTTTTTCCAACTTTCGAATGTTGATATTGGTTGAAGTTGATCTCGAAATAATCTTCTCATACTTCAAAACTAACGCAGTCCTGGTTCTCATTGATTTAAAAGAAATGAACAAAAACGAGTTATGGATTTTTTCAACTTTCAATTTCAGAATGATATTACATCAATGTCCATGTTATTTCGTTTTCGACAAATCTATGTTCTTATTTATACCCCACCTCTACAACCGCTACAAGCGTCCAACTGCCGCATAATATCACGGTCAAATCGCCACGCATTATGTCATGGCCAAAACACCACTCCTTAACTTTAAGCATATTTCAAATAAATGTAAACTAAATAATGCTAATCATTGAGTGTGTTTTAAAATGATTTCATAATCCTTTTATCATTACGTGTACCTCAAAACTCGAAGAATGATTTCATTTTCCGAAACATCTGTTAATTTATGTACAGTCAAAATCCTTGGTGTCTCTCGTGCATCAAACTGTTAGAATTACATATTCTACAGACAAATTTTCTTTTCTCACACTCTCAATTTCCCAAATCATGCACTCAAAATTCTATCAAAAACAGGAATATGTGTAGAAGTTTGCTCACCACAATTCTATACACTACTCTCTTACTGTATTCTTAAACCTCTAGCTTCCTCCTAGCTCATTTTATTTATGCGTGACAATCTTGCTGCCGTTTCTGCCATCAATTCTTTATCATCAGTTCTCCACCACTTGCACTGACCGGACCTATTCGTGCAACTGACCGGACCTATTCGTGGCGATGCAACAAACACTTTGAGCTCTTCGCTTTCTCTCATGAGTAAAATGTTCCCTTTTATTTTGTTCAGTTGTAGGGAATAAGTTAATTGTCATGATGAGAACCTACTTACCTTCCATCTGCTATATCTCTAAAGTCATCATTCACTTCACAAAACGGAACATCGGTACAAAACCAATTTCCTGAAAATCATTTCCATGGCGCAGTTCAACATCATAATGTTATCTCTGCCTTGCTACCACGATTCTCTCGGTGCCTCCTCGGGCAACCTTCGCCCTCGCAAGCGACGTTCGAACTGCCCGTTGTCCCACTCTTACTTCCGATCGAATCAGCGCTCCTTCTGCTCAGTTCAGTCCCCAACACTAGAGGGAGCTGTATACCCATCT